GAAAGAGTGCAGCCCGTATTAGTAACTTACTACAATCATTCTAATGTTTCAGACATCAGTAAGTTGGCTACTATTTAAAGTCAAAGTAATTACTCCAAAATGACATCAATTTGACAGCCTAAAGAACACAAAAGTAGTAAACCTTTCACTTTCTGCATTAAAGACTCTTTTACACTAGCTTCTATAACCAAATTATGTAATAGGCTAGTGTAAATATTTAAAGGGGACAACTAAATTATCCTTGTCAGGGAAGATTTCTTAACCTCTATTAATCCAGCTTTTATTACTAAAGTAAAAGTAAAATATTCATTAAATCTATCAACTCTTGGACACACTTAAATATCTTTAGTGATGCAATCTATATTTTTGTTTCTCCTTTCAGCTGTCTAGGATTGCCTGCTTTTTTAATTGGCTTATGGCACTCGTGGAGGGCAAAAGCCTGGTCTAAATGAGAAAACTACAGTGTCTTCCTTGATTTATATGCAGTGAGTATTTAGTTTAAGTCTTCTCCTTTATGGTCATATAAACTGATGCTTTTTTTGCTCTGTTATAAGCTGAAATGAGATTGGTAAGAAAAATTGTCATTCCAAGCAATCATCTAGGCCCCAGTTCTGCAAAATGAGTATCTAGTCATTTTGTTAGACTGGGGAAGACTGAGAATGAATTGACTTTGGTAAAACTGGAACCATGAAGCTGGCCTACTTCAAGGGCTGGGAACTAGATGAGAAATTTATCCAAAGTGTTGACAAAACATGGAACATTTCTCACTGTGTGGCTTGTTGACTAATGGACATTGCAACAGGCTGGACAAATCACTGAACAAATACACATTTTTAAAACTCAATAGTCTCCTACTTACAACTTCATAAAAGCTCTAAATAAATCTGTTCAGCAATAGCTGGAACGAGAACAAATACTGGTCAATGAGAAGCAGAATATAAATTGTTTTCAATAAGAACAGAATTAAAATTGAAACTAAATTGTTGCACATGGAATAGGATAAAAACTAGAACTAATTAATTACCGTGGAACTAAATAAACACTGGTACTCTGTTGTGAGCCTAAGGGCCTATCCACATGGACTCCTTTTTGGTATCAAGGCCATGCTTGGTTACAGCTATAAGGGCCAAGAGTTTAACTGTCCTGTGGATACGTGGGAGATATAGGAACCAAAGCTGAATGTAGCAGGCTTTCCAGTGTGTTCCAGTTACAGATCTGGACTCTAACTGGAACAATGAGAACTTGATACTGCTTATAGCCAAGTGGTGTAATGGCTGGGAATTGAAATAAACCATAAATGTGATGACATGTAAATATGTACAAAGATTAAATACCTCATGTTTCAGTCATTGCAGAGTCGTCAGATGACTCCATGTTGTAGAAGTCTCTGGATACCTAAGAGAATGCCTACAGCATTTATTTGTGTTTTGATAAGTGTTTAAGGTTACTCATTACATAACCAAGCGGCTAGTCCAAATTTGCCTCCCTACGCCCCTTCCCAAATTAAATGGGCTGCCATTTTAAACCATGGACATGGCAAAATACTTGATTGCCTATATTAATATTGTCTCCAAAGGCCACAGCGATGAAATTAGTTGCTTCTTACAAAAATGCTGCTATTAACCATACTGTGCCCACCTAACTTGGTATCCTCAGGGATTGCCGCTCTCCTCATTGCTTTCAATCAGGCTGAAATCTCCACAGCAGCTCACACTCACACCGAGGGAAAGGGTATGATCTCTATCTATGCCACATCACACTTAGAGAAGAGGCAAGAGACCAAGCAGAAGCTGTATGAAGATAGTAGCAACAAAGGATCTAGCCTAAAAATCGTATTTTGAGAAAGCAGTGGTATGAATAAAGCATGAATGATCTCAGGAGAGAATTCAATTATGGGGCAAGGGAAGAAAAGAAGATGGACACAATGCAAGGTCATGAGGTTTCTTGTAAACTCAATGCAGTGGCGAAGTCAGTACTGTGTGTAACTGCTTCCAAACATGGCTATCTGTGTAGCAGAAGAAAAACCACCACCATAGTTTGATAACATACTGATCTTTTTAATCTATAAAGAAGATTAAATTCAAAGTTTAACAGTATAAAAGAATAACAAATACTTTTTAAAACAAAAATACAAGATAACACACAGTTCTGTCTTGGCTCCTCCTGCTGCCAAAGCTTAGAGTACACAATTTCTCGGGTATATATCCACTGCATACAGTGTTTCCTAGCACTTCAGCATATGTTGAAATTGAAATGAAACATTTTTATTTGCAAAAAAGCTTTTCCAGGTACAAGCTCAAGCCAGGGAGCTATTATGATTAGCTAGTCACATGTCAGATCCCACACATAATTTAAAAAAAACAGAATGAAATCACTGCTTGTTGCAACATTCCTGCCTTTTCATGTCAGCCTCTAGATGCCAGCAGCCCATATCAGCCCTGCATCGCTCAACCCAGCTGCTTGTAATTCACAGTTACAGTCACAATTCAAGAGCTGAACCTTTTCCACTTGGGTCCCTGCTCTAAGTTCACATCTGCAACTTCTTATTCCCCTCAGGCACACATACAAAAAAGCATTGGACGGAGGAAATGACAGAGAAGGTATGAAAACTTGTGAGAACTTCTTTCAGACAGCAAGGAAAAAGCCTCAGGCAGGGTTGATGTGAGTAGCCCCTCCTGATGGCAACTGTTCATAATTTGTTCAGCTTTACTTCTAATGGACCCTATGGCAAACCATAGAGTAGAGGGGGACAGCCAGGTGTAGAGGAACAAAAGGCTGAACAATCTGTTTAGCCTTCCCTGTCTCTTTACAGTTAGATTTACAATTCTCATCCACATAAACTCTGCTCCTGCTTTGCACTGACCAGAGACACATGCTTTTAGGCCCAGACTGAACGAGACTGGAGTGACCTAACAATCCACCTTACTCCTTGTTGGTTTGCTGTATTAACAACCCAAGTGAAAACAAACAGAGAGAAAAGTCCTACCAAAACTTATAATGGAATGCACCTCAAAAATGGATAAAAGGATACATTTTTCTACAAGTATCCTAACTGCAGAATAACTGTTTTGAATCCATTAGTGGTTGCATTCTCATTGCATGATCTTTGGAAAGCATAATGATAATAATAATAATAAAAAACCCAAAATGAAATAAAATATTGCCACCGATGAAAAATCTGTTCAGTTAAAAACTGCAAAAACAAGTCAATAGCAATTTACACACTTTCCTCAGCCCTGCAAACCTGAAACATCCAACACTGCTTGGACAAAATTGAGAATACAGTAGACTTTTCAGCCTAACTCTACTTAAATGACAATATTGGTTAAGTAAAACAAGGCACACTATTGAAACCAAAATACATAGAATCAGGTTTCTATGCTACTGTTTGCCAAAAAGCTATTTTAAAAAAACCGGTTTAAATGCAAACTTTTACATCTCCAACACGTTTTACATATTTCAGACAACAAAAGAATACACATACATTGTATGTGATAATTTTTCAAAACTAACCATGACATTTTCACAGATTAAAAAAAAGTCTGTTTAAATATTTTATTTCTACAAAGTGAATTTACATTTTTAAGTACAAAGTGCAAATACTACAGTTGTTTTTATTGCCTTTTGGTGAGGAAATCTCCCACATGTCAGAGATCTGCCTTCAATCAGTAAGCTGTTCACCCTTGCTTCTTAGAAACTTGCTGAAAGAAAGTTGGAAAAAGTTGCATTATTAATGATGTTTTCAAGTAATCAAATATAAACATTTATCTCTGTTTTTCAGCAGTGTCCACATGTCACTATCAGAGCAAGAGTTCTGTACAAATATATAGGGGGAATGAAAAGATCCCTGCCCTGTAGTCCTTCACAGCATCTACAAACAAGGGTATGAGTAACATCCTTACTATTTCTTACCTATGGCCTATTTAAATCTATACCTGTCAAACACACAGTTTTTGCAACTGCCTGGGCAAGTCCCTGGTGCAATATACCTTTCTATGGCATGTGATGTATAAGGTATGGGCTGCTGGCCAGAGTCTTATGAACACTCTATAGTTTCCTTATAAACTTTTTGCTCAGCTGCAAAAGACCCTCTGGGTCTCATTGACAGCGTGTGTGCATGTATGTGTATGTTTGCTGGACAGGGTGGAGCTGAGTAAGGGAAATATACCTGGCCATTACCACAGTTCTGTCAGATCCATCACATATTTGACCTCTTTTAGAGCAAACACAGCTGAGACTCAGCATGTTAGTGAACATATGTATATATAAATATACATATTTATATATATCTATCTGCTTTCTTTCAGTATGCTTGTATGTGTGCGTACGCATACAGATGGTCACATACACAAAAAAAAAATTCAGAAATACATGCTTGAAGCACACATAAACATATATATAATGGAACTGCTGCAATAAACTAGTAGAAAATGAGCTTCTGAGAGCCCATCTCCTGATCACTCCTTTTTTAGATAGGTGGTTTCCTTTGAGCAGCTCCTACCCAGACCAGTTGCTTTTCAGTAACTTCCTTTCAAGTGAAAACTTCTGTGATGAAAGCCACCTTCTGCATTTGCAGCCTTGCATTGTTCGAGTATGAAACTGCCAACAGATGGTTTGCTGAGCCAGCCTTAATTCAAGGCTATCATTTGTCAGCAACAGATTTTAAAATAATTGGTGCTGAGTCAGCAAAATTGTTGGACAAAATTAAAAAAAAATAAGACTCTCTAGGACAATTTCATTACAGATTCTGCAAGTCAAGATCAGATTACAAGTAAGGGGAGAGGGGTTGTCATGCTTCAAGTGTAATGCACGTGTGCCAGTAATTGCCATTATATAATTAACTCCTTTGAATGTTTCTGAGTTCCGACAAGATAATTGTTTTCAGGCTGCCTTGTTTAAAGCATAAGTGATTTGTGGGGGGAACTTGAAAAGTTGAAACCACAAACATTTGTTTAAACAAACAGAAACTTATCACATCCCTCTAGCTGTGAGAATATCTTATATTCCACCAAAGGTATGTAGGAGGTCTCTGGTAGAACCCACAACCAATGCTGAGCTTGCCTTAGGAAGTGTGAACCTAACATCAAACAAATCAGAGATAAAGCAAGTAACAAATTGACTAGCAACAAGGAGAGGAAGATTTCCTTTGGCTTGTGGGGAGGTTCACCTTGGGTTCAGTTTTTAAGAAATTAATCTAGCTTTCCGATAGATGAGGAAACATTAGCCACAACTATGATTTTGGGATATTTTAGTCAAATTCTTACTTTCTCAGCTGTTCTTATAATAAGTTTATAATAATATTTCTTAAAACAATTCATCATTTATATCATTCTATGGTTTCTTTATGCTTTTGTGGGAATTAATAATTTAATTCCAATACAAAAGTGAGGCAAGAATGATATGAAGATGATTCTTTTACTAGACTATTCAAACAAGTGGCAGACTCACAAGTCCTTCAGACCCATGCAAAAGTGTCAGAAAGTTGTGCTCATATAGTCCAGAAAAGTGAATTTTTAGGATTAATGACTATGAAAATAGACCCATGCAAATGAGAAGCCCATTTTTACCCTTTTCCCTGAGTTTCCATTTGAATCCCTTCTTTTCAATCTGTACCTTTCCTTGATTTAAAAATTCTGCTTTTGTGCCTTTTGTAGCTCTGAATACCATGAGTAGCCAAAATGCCATGGATGACATACACTAGTGTTATTCAGAAAAACAAAACCAAGTCTTTGCAGAAAACTGATGCAAAAACAAATCATGGATTATGTTGTCAGGGCACTTGACATTTTATTTGCTACAATCATTCCGCAGACCTAATCAATTTTAGTTTTAACATACATCAGCAGACTGATGCAAGTTCTCCAGCAACATTTTCTTAAGCCAGCAAAGGCATTTAAAAGTGACAGATCTTTTCTTTACACTAAGATTTTAAGAGGTGTTTAAGACCACCATACAATAATTCAGTGGGGTTTGTGAAATGCATATATTTTCATAGGGCATGAGAAATGCATGGCTTTTTTCACAAAGAGTAATTTCAATCAAAGTTTGTGTCTAAAGTACGACTCACAGGGAATTTGACAGAATTTGGTTAAAGCAAAAGGTAGGTGAAGATAAAGCAGTGCACATTTAGAAGTGTATGGGAATGCTGACATTCAGGAATGCAGAAGACTCATGCAAGGGCTCAATTACACTCATCTAATTATCATTAACCTAGATGCCAATTATACTTTACTAGCAGCATCCACATGCAGGCATAATCCACTTTGCATTTACGCACATTTACTCTGCACCTGTAGTTAACCAATTCAGCTTTCCTTAGATAGAACTTAAATCAAAGGTTGTTAACCAGGATGCTGCTCTACATTTTCCTGGCAAGTCTTCAGAATGGCAGATAAATGTAGCTTGAAGCAGCAATGATAACTGCTAAAACCTCAGGAAGTTCAGCTGGTCAAGACAGAAATAGAGATCTTGCTCACCTGCCTGCTGGATGAAGTGCTCTCAGTGTTGGTTTTAGGGGCTGCTAAAGAAGGGAAAAGAAAACATTATGAATAAAATTTGCAAGTTATACGCAGCATCCTGGAGAAGTGAGGCCCTCATTCTGGTATTGTTTAGAGCAGGGTAACTGCACAGCTTTCAATGAATGATATAAAATATATCAGCTCTTCCATCGAAAAATTCACTTTTTTCTTTCCTCAATACAAGTGTTGCTTCTATCATGTGCTATGAACGTTGAATGATGGCATTTCTTGCCAGTTAATACATGACATTTGCTTAGGACAGATAGCATGTAGACAGCATTGAGAATTTCAAATTTATTAAATCTTTAGTAGTAAATATAGCCTATTATCCTTGGTGGGAAAGAAGTGTGGACAAGCAGAGTGTCTGGAAAGCATTCACTTTGTTTCAAGATGTTGCACACAAACAGCTCTACTAGCCAAAGACAATGTTCATGTTCTATCTACAAACAAAACAAGATTATAACTGGTTTTTGAGTTTCTTACTGGCTAATTCCAAAACAGTGCACTAAATGAGGAAAAAAACCCCCGCCTACATGAGTTTGCTGGCCTATTCAACTGCACAAGCAGACTTGGGACGCTAGGGAGGAACTCACCCTCTCAGTTTCCCATGTCAGTTTGTTAGTCAGTCAAGCTTCACTGAGACAAAGGGGAATGAAACTGGATCTTGAAACATACTGCAGAAACTACCATTCCTTAAGAAATTATGTTTTGCAGCTCTCTCCATCTTATATTGCATCACAGGATTTTCACAAGACACCTGGGACTCACACAGAATGATACAGAGCAGTCTCCTTATCTCAGCTTTTATACCTGACGTGACAGGGACTCACCTGTTCCTAAAACTCTAGCTTTAGTGGAGTGGCAACTGATTTCTTTTGTCCAAGTGAAAGGATTATCAGTAAGGAAATTTTAATTATCAATCAGGAGAAACAAAACAGAATGCTGATATTCCAACAAAAGCAAATTTTGTGTCTCCTTTAAAAATATGTATTTCTAGGAAAGCAACCAAACTATTTGGTTTAGATTTTTTTTCCAGCTGGATGCCATTAGTTTTACAATGCAAAAGTACTGAGGTATGTTTTCCTTAAAAAAAAAGAATTTTCTCATTATTGACTACATTGTTATCTGGAGAACTTCTGTTAAAAATCTCCAGTTAAGGTGAACATATTTTTTTCCTTAGCTAAATCTGTGTACGATCTTCATGTAATTTCATGCCTCTTACAACCTTCTTTTCTGAAAGAGGTTGCTTATATGAAGCAGAAGAATCCCAAGCTTTGTTTTTTTCACTAAAATGGGCACAGGAAAAACGGGGGTTTGGTTTGAGTCTTTCTATAGCTTTTCTTTATGTCCTGGAGCAGTGACTTTGGCCCCAGATTTCATCTACAGTAAGACCAAGGGGTGCCAACTGCAGCAGAAGTGTCTGGATATTAACAAATGGAGTGACCATGATGACCTCCACTTTAAGGCACTAGTCTGCCAAACAGTGTAAATTAAAAAGGTGTTACAATTAAGTTTCCACATTTATAGCATAAAGATAACAACAGCCATTCATTTTTATATACAGTTTTTCCACTTCCCTTACCTAAGTGAAAGTTGCAAGGTATTATTATTAGGACCACAGAAACACACAGAAAAATAATCCTACAATTGATGTATTTGCTTTGAGGTATCTGTTTCTGTGAGACATAGACAATTTATTAGTACAATGTAGAACTATTCTTTCTTTCTGCAGTGTGCCCTTTCTAGGCTTGAATACAACCACGTGTGTGGAAACCATTTTATTTCTGACTACATTTCCCACTTGACTTGCTTTTTATTTCCTATGATACCTTTGTTTTACTGCCCTGGCTTCATTTTAAGGTCTCAGGCAAACAAAACAATTTACCTATATTAATGTTCTACAGCTTCTTACACTATGGGGATCTACTGCTGCTGTTTACAAAATTTTTTAAAAACTCATCTTCATTTCCAGGAATTGTGATTAAACTGTGCAGGGACCATTACACACTGTAGTTAGTTGTTCCCCTTTTCACCATTCTGGCAGCAAGGTAAGGTGGCTGTGTACCAGCACTTGTTCCACCTGTTTGGCAGATGACCACATTCCTCACTGTATCTCTGAACCTCATTTGAGAAATGAGAAATCATTAGAAAGCTCAACAATATGCTTCTTTCCCAGCAGGAATCCAAAAAGCACAGGTGTGATACTTCCACTTATTCTGGACATAGTACTGTAATAACATTAAACTGGCTTTTTGATGGCTGTTAATGTTATCATATCCTCTTAAGTTTCCTACTATAACACATTTAATGGTCAGAATCAAGAGGAAGGTTTTGATTCTGTAGGAGCAGAGTGATGATTTGTGTACACAGAAGCAGCTTTCCTGTCATCTGCCCAAAGGAACAGCTGCATTAGCTACAGATAGGTGTATTATTCTATTTTGTACACTTCTGGCATATACAAACATAAGACTGTCAGCTTTGAAGAATCTAATGAACAAGGTAGAAAAGGTTCTTACTATGGCGTTTCTTTGTTTCTGCTTTACCTTCTTCTTTTGTTACTCCCAAGCAGCCCATTAATTCTTGAACTGATAAGGACTTATCGTTGTTCACATCACAGTATTCCACAAACTTCTTCACACATTTTTTGGGTTTTGATTTCTTTCTTAGGAATCTCTTAAATGGCTTGATTTCTTTCTTGCCAATGTCTCCACTGGAATTTTTATCTAGCTGTTTGAAATACCAATGGACCACTCTCTCCTCCAGAGTGTGATTTGGATCAGGCTCCGAAACCCTGAAACAGAAAATAAGAGTTTAGTCTTAATTCCCATATATAAACTTCAGTTTATACCTTTATTTCAGAACCATTAAATCACTGTCAGATGCTTTGTTACATAAACCTCCCTGCTTTTGGTCACTAGCTTCTTGTAGCGAATCCCTCTTTTTTCACTTTCACCAACTGTATCCTAAATTTTACACTAAGGGCTGGAATCTGCTCTTAGTTAGCTCTCTGAAACTGTGTTGAGGTCAGCACCACACTCAGAAAACAGTGCTTTCCTTTTCATTTCCTGAAACAGGGAAAAGTAAAGAGAGAAATAAAGGAGAAAATTACAGTTTCATAGATGATAGACACATTAAAATACGTAATATACCCAGATGAAGTAGGTCAACAGTCAGCATCACCAAATACCTAGGCTCCAATTACAACCCATGATGGATGTTCTTAAAGATAAAACATCTAAATGTATCAAATTACAGGGTAAGTTTTAACAATAAATGCCACCTCCTCTTCAGATGGTAAGCACCTGACCTGTAGGCATCAAAAGTTTGACAGCACTTATGCATTTTCAATTTTGGCTGTTGATAGCATTGGTTTGTTTTGCAAGCAACTTGGCAAAATACGAATCAGGAAAGTAGCTCACATTCATCAAGTAAAGCCCAAAAAGAGCGCAACGACTGAGTCACAGCTGCACCAGCAGCTACTTATAAACTCTAAACTGTGCTGCTGCTGAGAATTCAGCTACCAAATGCATCTCTGTTTAGTTGACATAGTCCACAGTGGTATCTTTGAAGCAAACTCTCCTAGAGAAGTTCTTGGAAATTTACCCTTTATGAAGGCAGAAGAATTACTTCCCAAAGCCCTCAACAAGGTCCAAAGATGGACAAAAAGGATCTGAAACCCACCGGCTGGAAGACAACAATGGATCAGAGACTGCGTGCACCATATCCGTGGACAATGCATCCAGAACACTAGTCAGGAACTCATTCTTCTTGGCTCCAGGACAACCTAGAAAACCAGATTTTTTTCTTTGTTTCCTCTTTTTACAACATTTAAATTCTAACAATAGTTCAAACTTAAAGATAGATGTGACTCCCTGTACACAAATCCCCACAAACTGTGAATAAGTTCATAATATAATTCAAAGACAATCATCTAACTTCAGGAACATATCTATTACATAGAGCAGGACTAGAAAAACATCATATTGAATGCAGGCAATTGGGAATCTGGTTTGCATACTTTGAGTCCTTTTCTTTCAATTCAGACCATTATTTTTCCTTCTTTAAGATATTTCTTTCCATGGGTGTCACATTTTGAAAATAGCAGCTTTGAAACAATGGAAGTTTGTACAAGACACAGACCCTTTGAAACACAGACTAGAAGCCCATACAGCACTTCTTTCAGATTTCTGCTTTTGCTCCTCTGAACTACCGTTGGCTTTCTCAACACAAATTCTCTCACTGCACTGGATTTCTTCTCTGTAAAGTGACAGTCAACTGCTTTCCTATTTCACTGTTCTCTTGGGCAGAGGTTAACTCCCACCATATGGCACCTAGCCCAATCAGATGCTGTTAGTTGGTACTTTGGTTCATACTGTGGGATACTATGGTGATGCTAGATCATCCTCATAATTACATTCCCTACGCCATGAGGTTCTTCTCTGAAGAAACTGACAGCACATCAGATGCATAATACATCAGATAAACAAATACTGAAAGATCCACTCATAGAGCAGTGCCGCTGGTGCACATAAATTCATCTGACAAGCGCATGGATGTTGACACATGGAGATTTGCGTATACAATACATCTGCTTCCTCTCCTCTTTCCTAGAGCTCTG